GTTTAATATAGAAACATAGAAATATTAGTCCTTGATGAAATGTAAATGAAAATTGTTTTCTATATAGGTAATTTTAAGAAAGAAATGAAATTGGTAATATTATTTCTATTTGTAAATAATAAAAAGTAATTTATGATGAAATAATTTATAATTTATTTATTTTTAGTAATGTACAATAAGTATGTTTTTAATTTAGATTTGCAAAATAATAATTATATATTTAATGTTTATGAATTTTGATCAAAATTACAAGTACATAATTATTATATTTATGAATATTGATATATCTATGATGACACGTATTTTACAAGTATTGTATCCTATATATTTTAAATAATCATATCGCCGTATCGGATACGTGTCATATCCGATATGCGTATCGTATCAGTGCATCATAGATAGTAGTTTTATGCCTTTATCCTACTAGGTGAGATGAATTATATGGATCACACACACAACAATATAACTCCATTTGTGGCCTCATAGCCAGTCCCAAGCCCGATTAAAAGAATAGGGGTTGTGCTAAGCCCTAAACATAAAATTTGTCAAAACCCCAAAGTATAGAATACTCACCACAATTTCATCACTCCAAACTCACAAAAATCTTAAAACCATTAAAAGTACGAATAACGAAACTATAGTGGCACTGTAAAATAGAAATTTATAAAATCATAGATTGATTCTTCACTTTGACGAGGCTCCCTAAAATTCCCTACATTAAACTATTGTGGCCATTGTTCCCGTTTAAAAATAAGATAACGCTAGCGATATTCTCTAACACTTCCTTTACTATTGGCTAAAATTTATTAAAAATTACAACACAATCCATGATGAGCTACAGACAAAACAATATTAAGCAAAAGATGACCAAAAACACAGGATGGCAAAACATTCAACAAATTCTTCCATTGCAAAACAGAAAAACAAAGATTCATCGAGGATCAAATCTAGACAAGGATATATAAACCCACCCCTGACTTTACGATTTCCATGATTCTAATCTCATGAAACCGTTCCAAAAGTCATCACCAACCACAAAATCCACCATAACACAATCAAAGCCCAAACCAATAAAATTACCTTCAAGATATCTGAAAGCCACCGGCACGGATGGGAAGGTTCAAGACGCTGCGCTACATGCTTGATGTTGATCTCAAAAATGCTACGCGCTATAGGCACATTACTTTTGAAAGGATAAGAAGGTCACCTCTCTCAAGGAAACCAAGAAGCGCCTCAAGGAGAGGTTCAAGACGTCTAAAGTTAAGTCCTTCACCAAACTCAAATTCCTTATCAAAACTCTTAATGTGCTTTTATATTTTTTTGTTGGATTTAATTGCAATTTTAATTTGTGCTTGTGAAAAAGAAAAATAAAACTAAAACATTGTCTCTGTATTAGAGGGAAAAGAAATAATCGGAGGGAAATAAAAAAAAATAAAATTTTAATTAATTAAAATAATGTTACCAAGGATTTTTGAAAAATACTTGGCACTTTTCCGGGATTTGAAATCAAACCCCTATAATTTAACTAGGGTTATTAAAACTCTCATAAGTGTTTACATTTCCAAGGGTTATAATAATCCTAGTTAAAAACATAAATTTTTGTAGTGAGGTGAGTATTCTTTGCATAACCTCTCCAAACCTAAGATGAGTATTCTTTGCACATCTTCTCTAGGCCTAAGGTGAATATTCTTTACACAGCCTCTCCAAGCCTAGGGTGAGTATTCTTTGCACAGCTTCTCCAGGCCTAGGGTGAGCATTCTTTGCATAGCCTCTCCAAGCCTAAAGTGAGTATTCTTTGCATAGTCTTTCTAGGCCTAAGGTGATTTCCATAATCTGATAGCCTCTTCTTTTAGGTGGGGATGTATGATGAAGACGTGGGTAGTCTATGAATAGTTTCCATGTGCTAACGGGCAAAAGATCATCCTCTTAGTAGGGTGATCATAATTGTGTTGTCCTATTTTCTCTACTAGGGAATCAGGAGGAGATGTAGACGATGCTTCTAGCTTTGATTGTTTTGCCTTTCTATAGGCGATCATCCACTAGGATTGTGCAGTTTTGTAATCTGAGTATTCCTTTACTAAAGCCTCTCTAGGTTTGGTTCCCTCCGTCGGGGGTAAGCTACTCATTAGCCACATTTTCTTGTGTGGGTCTTGGTTACCAGGTATTCAGTCTAACTTGACTAGGGATTTTCGCTTATGGTAATCCTTGCCCCTTGTTTGCATGTTCTTGTTATTGAGACCTCTGTTGAGGATTTCTAAAGTTTATTTTTCTTAAGCTTCAATTTTTTCTACATAAAGAAGCTTAACATTTTTCTTATTTGTACTTTTCTTTTGCCTTTTTCTTTTATCTATCCTATTTTCAGCTTTTTCTTGCACTTAAAGTGAAAAGAAACAAAGGCAAGATGTGAGAAATTGCAATTTCATTCATTTGAAAAAGTTTTGATTATAATGCAAAATACAAATACAAGTAGATAAATCCTAATCCTCATTAGGGAGTCGGGAAAGCGACGTTGGAGCCAACCCATCATGTGCTCATGTTGCTGACGTATCTTTGTTTCCTAATGATCAAACTGATAATCCATGTTAGTGAATTGGCAATCTGCATGCTCATGCCATTGGTTGATGCCTCAACTCATCTAGTCAAGGCAAGCATTGGTGGCTACCTGCCACTGCTCCCACTGCTTGTGGATGGTCTTTTCTCCCTCTTCGACTATGGTGTTGGGGCTGCTCTGATTGTTGCCCTGGATATCATCCCCGAATAGGTCATCAAAATAATCTAGAGTAAACCCTTGTACGTACGAGGGTGTAACTATCTCTCGTACTCTAGATGATCCCCATGATCCTCAAAGTGGCGATGTCGATAGGGCACGAAGGTGGTCCAAGGTCATCGTCGTCCCTACGTACTGATCCTAAAGTTCTTTGCCAGTCGGGTGAGCAGAGACCTTACCACAATGTATCTTGTGCGAATGATGTTGCCTTCTCGAATACCAAATTGACGCAAGTTCTGTAGAAAGAACGACCCAAGGTTTCACCTTAAACCTTGAGTCATGTAGTAGAGGGGGAAAAAATCCATATGGATGACTAACCCACTACTCTCCCAGCGTCCATGGATAGAGCCAATCATAAGCTTATGGACGACTCTCATAGTTGGATCTTTAAGCCTTGAAGCCTTTGCTGTCCTCGACATGGTGGCCTCCCCAATGAGCTCCTACCACAGGGCGTTAATAGATGTCCCGGGTGGCTTGGCCAAAATAGCCGCCTGACTACAAAAAAAACTAGGATTTATTTAGCTGGGGTTATTTAGCTAGAGTTATCATAACCTCTGCAAATGTATGAAATTATCATAACCTCTACAAATATATGAAATTATCATAACCTCTACAAATATATGAAATTATCAAGGATTAACCTTAGTTAAGTTTCAACGCTTTATAATGAAATCCTAAGTAAATCGATGGGTTTATTATAAACTCCTATAAAATTTAGATATTTTTTTATTTAATTTAATATATTCATTAAAAGAATTTGATTGCCACCTTTTATTTTTAATTATTTTTCATTTCCTCCCATTTTTTTTATCAATACACACTCATTTTTTTTCCCTAACTCGGCCTTAACCCTTGTTTAATTTTTCTCTCTCTGTGCGTGCTTTACAACTTCTCTATTCGAGTTTCACAATCCAACCTTTAGGCCGTACAATGCTCCATTGTTCAGAGACCATTTTTCAAAGCACGTCCCTTTTTTTCAAGGCCACACAATCCCTCTGCTACTCAAAGCATGTCCCTTTTTTTAGAGACCATTTCCTCCTCGGTGTTCTGATTTCCTCCTTTCTGTCGAAGGGAAGGTCACATCGCCTAATCTATCTAGGTTTTCAGAGACCATTCCTTCATCATATTGTTTATTGAGCCTTTTTTTTTATCTTTAACTGAAATGTGTTTTTGAATTTTGAATCAGGGAGTGAAGGTTATATTTAGAACGAAAAAGCTAGGAGCAATAGTAAGCCAAGAGGTATTCAAGACTATTTTTCCTTTTCAATACAATAGGAATTTTTTTTCTTTCAATGGGGGATGTTTGTTACGATGAACTTGTTGAGCATTGGAATTTAATGGAAAGTGAATGTTGCTTCGATGGTGTTGACTTGATTTTGTCCATTATTCAATCCTTCATGTATGTGTATCTACGTTTCAACTTTTTTCAGATTTAGGGTTTAGGGTTTAAGATAATGAAATGGTTACATTTTATATATGATATAAACCTTATTTTCCAAGGAAAGTCCTTTTTCTCTCTGTAATCTAAAATGCTAAATTGCTTACCTCATAAGAAAGTGTGGCCTCAAGTAGTTAATTGATTTTTCTTGTTTCTCTGTGTAATTGCATGTATCTAGTTTCCTTCTTTGTTAAATCACATTGATTTTTGCAATTTATATTATTTCTATCTATGTATTAAGTTGCGAATTCACAAGGAGTCATTAATAAAAATCATGGGAAGGTGTTTTTGATTTGTTCTTTTCTGCCTGTCCTATATAACTACTTCAAGTATTAGAATTACAATTGTCGTTGCACCAAAATTTCCATCTGAAATCACAGGAAAGACTGTAACGTGGAGAAGGTACTTGATGCATTCCTTATTATTTTATATGTTTTGTAAATCAAATTTTATTTATTGAGTTAATTATGACTGTTATTGGAAAGTGCATCTGGCTTAGAAAATTAGAGTTCATTTGATTGGTTAAGATTTGTGCTGCCTTTCATTGAGTTATACCAAGGTAATGGTTTTGTCCGTTCCTGTTTGTAGTTTTAATATTTTTTGCCCCACAGAAGCACAATCATTTTTCTTCTCTCTATGTACAATCATTAACACAATTTACAACTAAGATAAAATATTTTTTAACAAATGAAATTATGTGATTCTTTATCAGAATTTGCATGCGTATTTTTTGCTCAGCCTTAATATTTTATGCACATGGATTTGTTAATTTTCTTTTATTGTGAATAGGAAATTTCCTAAAAAAATAAGGATAATAGAAAGAGGCAAACATTTCCTCACACCGGTGGATCCAAGAGCATTGTAAGAAAGAGACATGAGATGGTAACTTAAAACTTTCAATAATAAAATTATACTTTTTCTTCTAGTGTATATAATAATGTAATTTTGTTACATTTTATAGGAACAAGAGTGTGGTCGTAAAGTTAGTAGGGGAGATGTATGGATAACAACACATAAACATGCTAATGGAGAATTTGTAAATGATGAAGCAAGGGAAATTAGTGTAAGTGTAGTTTTGGTAAATATTATATTGCTCAAACAAGTATATGTCAATTTATATGGTTACTTATATTGTAGGGGAAAAATTAAAGTATATGAATCAAATGCACCATCATTTTCACAAGACATATCAACTCAAGATTCCCTAACACATGCTTTAGGAAGTCAAGAACATTGTGGATGTGTTCGAAGGATGGGATTGGGACCTTGCCCATCTCGCTTGTTTCGATACACTAGGCATTCTCATAATGGGATGGCTTCATCTTCTTCTTATAGACAATTACAAAATGAGGTTAATAAGTGTTTCTTTTTCTCTCATTACTATTAATTTTTTTTGGGACTGAATTAATTCCTTGTGAATGGGACAAAATTAGTGGTAATGTATTATTATTTTTTATTATATTGGTTTGACTAAGTTAATTTTTTTAAAATAGATCACTGCCTTGAAATCACAATTGGATGAACAAAATAAAAAATTTGAGGCAATGTTTAACTTTTTTGTGCAAAATTATCAAGGTCAAATGCCCCCAAATTTGGCAATGTTTCATCCTTCACCAGTAATTTTTAAAAGTGTAATAACTTTTTTTTAAATATTTTTCATTATATAATTTTCTAAGTTTTAATGATTTACATTTATATTTTAGGTTTCTGATCAAGGGAGTGTACCAACTAATGAAACAAATTCTCAACATGGAGATGAGCATATTTGATCGTTGATGATGAGTATACTATCTAAGTTGTAGATGATTTTCTTTTATTTTTGGAAATTTGATACAACATATTGTACTAGTTTGTTTTGAGGAACATATCGTAGGTTTTTATATTTACTACTTTGTAGGATTAATCACACAATACAAGTTTCATACATTGTGCTTGTTATGTATGTACTTTGTGTTTTGCAATCAAACTAATATAAGTTTGTGTTAGTTCTATATTTTGTATTTTGCATCTTTATTACTTGATTCATTTTATATAATTATATAACAAAAAATTTATTATATAAAAAATATCTAGTATAATATTAAATGTGCAGGTATAAGAAAATATTCTTTTAAAAAAATACGTATTATCGAAAAATAAATAATCTAGAAAAAATTTAGATTGTATTAATAGGGGCTGTATAACTCCCAACACATTCCTGGGGTTAGAAACCCTTGTTAATTATTGGGGTTTAGAAACCATGACTACATGGTTGGGGTTAGAAACCTTTGTTAATTACTGGGGGTTAAAAACCGCCAGAAAATTTGCAATTTTCAGGGGTTGCTAAAAACCCTCGCTAACACGTTCCTTACAGATGATTTTACCGGAGATTTGTACAACCCCTGGAAATGCGTTTAGCAGGGGTTATAACCCTAGTTAAATTCAAAATTAACCCTTGTTAAATACTATTTTTTTCGTATATACTCTCTATTATTGAAGTGCTCCAATGGTACAAAACCAAAAAACCAATTAAAGTCCTCCAAATCCATAGACTTATAGACCATGTTCATCCAGAAGGATACCATAGGGATATCTATGCCCTGTTGGGACTTCATGGTGTACTGAGTCGAAGACACTAAGAACTCCATGGTAGCCTTGCAAAATGTTGGCTCAAAGATGTGTAGTATGAACTCCCAACTGATACCAGCCAGGAGATCCCTGACCCTATCCCAAAGTCCTACTTCCTTTAGGATGCTTTGTTGGAGCATCCTCGTCGAACTAATTATGAAGGACTCCAAATACTAGTGTCATCAACAGACTTCCTTGCTCATGACTATTGGAATAGTGGGGGAGAGAGACCCAAGGATGCTTGCTCGTTTTCTTGTGGGAGGACTCTCCTTGACTCATCGTTATCGCTAGATGTTGAGAATTATGCAAAGAAAGTAATGAAGAAAGTAGATGGTGTGGAAAACTGGGGTGGATTGGAAGTAAAGGGGAGAACCCCTTATATAGGCCCTAAAAAGGACGAGGAACGGTCGTTCCGACCAACATCCTTGGGAATGGTCATTCTGCCTCCAAGAAGAGCCAATCTAGGCCTCTAGGGTTTTTTTCTTTTTTTAAATTCTGACCCTTTTGTGTACCCTTGTGCCATATGCATGTAATGGATTAATGTTCTTATGCTAAACTTAAAATGCAGATTAGTTTCATGATTGTTATCCTTAATCATGCCAGATCCATTCCTATCGGATATTCCTCCTTGAACCTAAGGTTTGTTTAGCTTGTCTATTCCTTGCCTATACTGAATATGATCGGTCAGTTTCTTAGATCAAGTGTTCTTAGACACTATTTTAGGACAACCCCAACCCCCCTCTATGTATTCACTGTACATACTCCGTGTATTTCTCAATATTATCGTCATACCATGTAGGTCAAGAGAAGAAAAAGAAAAGGGATATATATCTTGTCTTTTCAAGAGGTTTGTTCATAAGGGTTTTAAAAAAAAAAATTTAGAAGCATGGTTGGCAAATGTGGGTTGGTTTTTAGGCTAATGAACGAGCACATTCGAAATGGGGAAAAAATTTTCCATGTTAGCTTATTATTTTTTTGAAATTCAAGCGATGACTTGGGATTGCTTTTTGGTTAAGTGATCTTCCTGAATCGCCTTTCGATTTTTAGCTCAGGATGTTGCTTTCTATGTCCTAACTTTTGCCTGGGTCACCCCCTTTATGGGATTCCTAGCAGACTTTTACATTGAAACCTAACTTTTGCCTAGGTTTCCCTCCTTTGTGGGTTGCTTAGTGGGTCCTGCCCTAATTTTTCGCAACCCCCTTAGTCAATTTTTTGTCGGGCTTTCCTTATTTTGTAGCATTCATGAAATGATAACCATTTTTTCATTAAAAGGCAAATGTCCCTTGTATTTACTTCATTATCTTGATTTGGATTTGTATCCACAAGCCAAGTTGAGTTTATTTGATTGATTTTTATGTATTACTATTTTTCTTTGATTTTAATGCATTTTAAGCTATTATTTTCGATGATGCCCTACTTCAAATATATTTTCTCATTCAGGGTTTATTAATAAGGCATGGATTAAAATATTAGAGGAAGAAAAAAATGAAATAGAAAGATGTATAACATTAAAATATAATCTTTGATTTACACGTTCCCATTTAGTATAGCTCGAGGGTCCGGACACGTATCAAGTTCGTGATTCGTAAATAAAGAAGAAAAGAGAATATACCCCTTAGAGAGGTTTGGTCCACCTGACCACCAGAGTTGGTCTTTCATGTGTCTGAATGTCAATGCTTCAAAAAATTTTGTGCAAAGGGAGATCTCTCGACTTCTTCTCCCTTGAAAATGTGGCTAGCCCATACCCCAAGCCTTGTCGCCCTGGGTTTCTTGAAAATTTGGAAGCTCAATTATCCCTTTAGCGTCCTTACCAAGCCCTTGTCCTAGCTGGTATCCCTCCTTGAGTAGCATTTGTGCTACTAAGCTTCCATTGCTTGAGACTTTTTCAATGTGAGCGATCTCTAATGCTTGAAAAATGGTTTCCAAGGCTTCCTCCACCGCATCCACATATGGGATGGTCAGTGGTTTCCTGATAAGCATGTCTTTTTCTGCTTTCACTACTATCAACTTATTATCTACCACGAACTTGACTTTTTGGTGGAGTGTTAAGGGTACAACTCTAGCTTGGTGGATCTAAGGTCTTCCTAGGAGGCAATTGTAAGCACGAGCGATGTCCATCACTTGGAACTCAACATTGAAGGTATTGGGTCCAATCTAGATTAGTATGGTGACTTCTCCCATTACATCTTTTCTAGATCCGTCAAAAGCTCAGACGATTATATGACTTTGTCGTATTGGGACTTCCTTGACTGACAATTTGTCAAGTGTGTTCTTGGGGAGCACATTCAAGGAAGATCCATTGTCCACCAAGACTTTGGTAGTGAGAAACTTTTTGCACTTTATAGAAATACGTAAAGGTTTGTTGTGGTTAGCTCCACCACTCAGAATCTCATCATCCGTGAAGATTAGGTGATCGTTCGTTGTGATGTGGCTTACGATTCCTTCAAACTTGTCTTGAGAGATGTTGTGTGTGACATAAGCCTTGTTTCATACTTTTAACAGAGCCTATCTGTGAGGCTCTGAGCTCATGATTAATAAGCAACATGATCTTTGCTGGGGGTATGGTTCAGCTGATCTATAATGGAGTATTCACTCTGCCTTATGTAGTTGAGGAGCTCATCCTCCTCATCAGATTCTTTTCTTTTTTCTTCTTTTTTTCTTTGGAGACTTTAGCTTGTAACTCGTTAAGAGTGTAGATTTGTCTGCTTCTAGTCATTCCTTCTATCTCAGTGATGTTTGATATATCTTCAACTTGCACATCATAGATCCATGACACGACTTTATTACTTGCATATGGAAAGGGAATCGATGTTCTGATCGTTATTTGCTTGAGCATATTTTTCCCCTTATCAACTTGTATCATGACTGGTTTTACTTTAAGCGCCTCCCAATTTTGCGTATTGGATTCATAGTCAATTACTAGTGGCTTCAATATATGATTAACGTGCATAGGTTAGTCTTTTCTTTTTATTCTTTATTTATTCATTTATAAGGAAGGAATAATGTTCTAAATGTATATAATGCAGAATGCGAGGACAATTGAAAATTTAACAAATATCATTTTCATTGATTTTTTTGTTTGGTGATCGTTCTCATACAATGTTCTTTAATACATTTTAACAATATCACAAAAGTTTAAAAAAGCTGATGGTTGGCTGACGTCGTTGTGACTCATCCTTAGCCTTCACAACATGTCTTATCATTACTTCTACCTGCAAGTGGACAACTTTACTCATGTATCACATACTAATTCTGTCTCTTTAGCCTTTTCTTGATGATAACTAGTCATTACTCGCAACTCCTGAACTTCCTCTAAAACTTGATCCCTCTAATGAGTGAGCTCTTTGAACTGCTCATACCCTCTTTCTCCTTTTGTTGTAGATTTGAGAGGGTAGTGGTTTGTTGTCGCGAAACTTCCCACCATTTTGAGCCTAAAATTGAGTCTTAGACAGGTCCTCTTGCATTTGGTTCATCAATTGTGCCTGTGCTTTGATTTCATCCTCGAGTTGTGTTATCCTTGATGTAGCCTTTTGAAGTTGACCACTTGAATCAGTTTTTTGTAGCTTTATTGCACGAGTGGTCTCTTCATGTTTGTCAGCTCACTCATCTTTCAGGCGTTTGATCTCCATATCTTTCCTATTGCATTGCCTTTGTAGACCATCAATGGTGAGGTTAAATTCTTCAACTGGCTCCTCTAAGGCTTTTACTTGAGCCTGTAAAATCTCCACCTTCTTGGCAAGACATTGACTTGCAGTTGTTGACTACTTTCAACTGAAGGGATTGGTTTGACATACTAGTTTCCCCTCTCTTACTTCTCCATTGATTGTAATCATTAGAAGAAGCTACCCTCGACTTTCCTAGCTCATCATCTTCAAAATAGACTGGCTTGTCTCAAGCCCTTCTAATGTAGTCCTCCTAAGTTGCCTCAATGCTAATGTCGAGTAATAGGCTACGCATCCTCTTAGACCCATCAAAAGAATGCTTGGAAAATCACTGCATCGGATTAACACATTTCCCGAGCGAAACCGAGGATGTATTCAAGCAATGGAACCCTCAATACGGCTCTCTAACTCATTCTTCCACTCCATGACATATCTCCTCAGTGTGAGTATTTTGGAGAAGCTTCTCAATGGGTCAGACAGTGCTCCTATATGACCCTCGGCGAAGAAGTGAGTGTATGGCCACACAAACAATAGTGAGCAACAACATCTCATAAGCTTCCTTGA